ATGACAACGACGACGACGACGACATTACTGCATCAACTTCAACCAATGCTGGACCTCGGTCAAGAACAGAAGAAATTAATGATCTAAGGACAACGCTTGGTGAGCATGATAGAAGGCTTCAAAGGATGGAGAAGATGTTCAAGGCAATGACTTATGTCATTGTATTTTGTGTATTTTTGTACTTTATCTTGTAAATGACTCAATGCAATCTACTTTGTGTATTTTGTGTATTCAAGAACAATGTACTTTTGTATTTTAGGTTTTCGAACATGCTATGAATGTAATCTACTTTTGTACTTGTTTTGTAATATTTTTTTGGTGCTTAAAAATCTTATGGCTTGCAAAAACAAGTGTATAACAGGTTTGTTTGAGATGAAATGTGTTGAATTTTTGGTTTGTGAAATCTATTGAGTTATGTTGGTTGAACATGTTGAATTGAAATGAGTTCAATGAACAGGTTCAACAAGTTGAATAACAAGGTGTTCAATGAACAGGTTGAACGGGTTCAACGTGTATAACAGGTTTCTTTGATATGAAATGTGTTGAATTGTTAAAGTGGGTATTGATTATGAACAGGTTCAAGGTGTATTTTAATTGATGTATGCTGCCAAATTGATGTACGCTGCCAAATATGGTGTATTTTTATTGATGTATGCTACCAAATTGATGTATGCTGCCAAATAGATCATCAGTGCCAATTCAGCACCTGTTCATTGATATATGCTGCCAAATTGAAGTATGCTGCCAAATATGGTGTATTTTAATTGATGTATGCTGCCAAATTGATCTATGCTGCCAAATAGATCATCAGTGCCAATTCAGCACCTGTTCATTGATGTATGCTGCGAAATTGATGTATGCTACCAAATATGTTTAATTGATGTATGCTGCCAAATATTTCATCAAGAATCATAGTTGATAAAAGGAGGAAAGCCAAAAACAAACCTGACCCAACTCATAACAACATTATATCAAAGATAACAAACCCAACTCAGTGCTATTCCACACTTACACATTATCTTGTGGCCAAGACAGGTACTTCACAATTTTAAAGAGTCCATGAAACAGATCATCTAACATACCTACGAGTTCCTGAAATTCTTCAAAAACTGAACCAACTAAATTAAATTCTTGAAGTTCTCATATCTTGAACTAAATGTATCAATCGTAATTCCTAACATATATGATGATGACAACGATAAAACTAACACAAGAGCAGAGTGAATTCATTATTCCACCTTTCCTAGATTGAAACCAACAAGTTGCATGAAGAATAAATTCCAGCCAAGCCCAATTAACAAACTGCACCCAAGGAATGCTGCCAGCAGGAACATTTCAACATTTGAACAGAAAATTTCAGCATTTCAATATTTCAAAAATTAATCAAAATTTCAACATTTGAAGGGAAGTTTCAGCAACATTTACTGAGTAATTTGAACAGAAAATTTTTAGCAATAGTTTGATGACAAGTTTGAATATTACATATCCAACAAAAAATTCACAAAAATTCCCAAAACAAAATAACGCTAAGATGTTGGCGTGTGATCCACATCCCCATGCCCACGGCCACGCCCACGACCACGACCATATAGTACCTACAAAAAAAATAAAATAACATTACATCAAAGGAACCATAAAATAAAATGGAACTTTACATGAATGAATAAAAAAATATATATATATTACATCAAAGGAACCATAAAATAAAATGGAACTTTACATGAATGAATGACAAAATAAAAGAGAAAAGGTGAAAAAAAAATTACTTCACTACATGCGGGACTATTTGAAGCTTGCGAGTGATAACTACTTGCATTGTTAAGCAATGCTTGATAGGTTCCATGGCCGGAATACATCGATGGCATTGAAAAATGCATATTGTGATGAAGAAAACTTGGCTGCAACAATAACAAACACATATCAATCTAAAATGATAATAGTCAGCTACAAATCCGTACTAAAACTTTTTATTAAACTAACTTACATCATAGGCGGGATACATAAATTGAGACGGAGAAGCTCTAACTTGAGGAACACTTGGCGAGAATGGAGGAAGTTGAGGAACACTTGAAAATAAAGGAGCCGACTGAGGAATTAACGGAGGTGCTTCAGGAGCACTTGCCGAAAATAAGGGAGCAGTTTGAGGAGTAACAGACATGGAAGTTTGAGAAGCATTATGTGAACTTGTTTTATTTTTCTTTGCCAACGTAAGCTCCAAACCACCTTTTGTCCGCCTTCGTCCCTTGCTAGTGCACTCTTTTCTCTTGAGTCCTTTTGCTTGGACTACATTTTTATCTGCTACACCATCCACTTCAAAGCTTTCGGGGCATGTGTTGGGGGGGCTTTCTTGTTGAATAGTATCTGAACAAGGCATATTGAATTTTGCGCTTAACATGGTTTCAATGTCTGCAATTAATTCATCCGCTTTCTCGACCGTCAAATTATATGTTTCCTCACTTTCAGAAGCTCTACACGCTACTACTCTGAATATTGCCATCAATGACCTATAGCGTGAAGTTTGATGCAATCTTACATCAACCTGAATATCATGCCCACACCTATCTTTCACATTTTCAGATCTTGCTTTTTTAGTCCATCTCTTCAGAATATACTGTGAAGGAATCTCTTTCAATTTGAGTCTTTCTCTAAGGATCTTCAAACAATGACTACACAAAATGCCCTTCATTTCAAACTTCCTACAATTGCAAGTGACCGAATCATCACACTCCTGCCTCACCTTCCTCACCTTTATACCATCACTATCAAGAACCGTATAAACGGTACTCTCACCATCATTTTCAATTTCTTCAATGTTGACTTCAAGGGACTTGACATACTCATCCTGAAACTCTTCAAAAATTTTATTTGTGTAAACAGCTGCAGCTTGCTCCATAATCTTCACTTTAATATTCACCCTGGGCAACTTTTGGCATAGAGCATATTCAGCTTGTAACTCTTTGTACCTTTTCTCAGACAGAACTCGATCAAAATGCATGAAAAATTGCATTAAGTTATGATCAGACTGAATGAAATCCTTCAAGAAAGCATTAAAGGATTCACTAAGTTGGGTGCTACTCATGCCCGCACCCCATGCATTTCTAACATATGGCCAACCCCATTTTTCCTTGACCCCAAATGTTAACTTCAACCAATGATTATCTATTACTTCATACTTGTCAAGCATTTCCTCCCATTTTAACATAAACTCTTCCTCATCCTCAATGTCGTACATAAACGTGGATAAAACACTCTTCATCCCCTTATCCTTCACCGCATTATCCTTGAAGATAGAATTTGCATGCCTTAATACATTTTGCATCAAATGCCAAGTGCAAAGGCGGTGGGTTATGTTAGGCATGACAATAGGTATGGCCTTAGCCATTGCAGCATCCTGATCCGTAAAAATTGTTTTTGGAGCCATACTTGACATTGCCTCCAAGAATCTTCTAAAAAGCCATACGAAAGAATCGGCAGTCTCATCATACATCAAAGCTGCACCAAATACCACAGTTTCCCTATGATGGTTCAATCCAACAAAAGACGCAAATGGTCTATGTGCACTATTTAACTTGTAAGTAGTGTCGAAAGTGACAACATCACCAAATTGCCCATAATCCATGAAGTGCTCAATATTAGCATAAAAACTGTATACAAACCGAATAAGATAATTAACGAATAACAAACGTACCACCTGAATATATATAAACAAACAAGGAACAATTCTACTAATTAATAATTTTTACACTCTTATGATCAATAATTACTAGACCATATCAGGCCAAATAAGAAATCAAGCTGATAAATTCACTAGTAAAGCATCAGCTACCTTTCCATATTTCTAACTAGTCATTTTCTATAATCTGAAATCCCATGTTTGCTAACTAAGAGTTCAAAGGAAAATAAGTGCAACAAAACTAAAAAGACTGATCATATGCTTAGTTTAATTTGTATTTCCTTGGGCCTTAAATAGAAAATACTCTAATAATAAACATTTTAAGTTTCTTCTTCTTCCTCACATTTAATTAGAAACCAAATTGACAAAAGGAAAAACAAGCACAATAGACACTTCCTAAATTAATAATTGATTTTCAACTGTGAGGTTACTTCTCATCAACTATACATCACCAAAGCTTTAATTTAAGGCTAATCCTTTTCAATTTAGACAGATCAAGAAACTTCCAGTAATTGCAAAGAAAAAAATAAAATAAAAATAAAAATTAATCAAATCAAATCTACAGATAAACTAAAAAACACTTGACATTTTGGAATGAGATAAACTAAAAATAAACTAAAATGAAATCTGGAAGATAAACAAATCTGGAAGTTTGTTAGGTGCAAGGTTGAAGTCCCACAATGCAGACCAAACATCTTATAGTAAAGATACGGGCATAAAATACAATTTAAAAAAACAATATATGACATATATACATATCTGACCTATTTTTTACAAATCTTGACATGGGTTCTACTAGTTTTGCAGGTTGCAGTTGATGATAAGAACACAAATAGCTCAGATACATTCTACATCATTCACCACTGTTGACATATATACATATATACATACATAGATTTATGGAAAGAGAAGATCTTTGTACCTGTTCTGTTCTATGGAGTTCAACGGGATGCACTGTTCTGTGGAGTTCAACGGGATACACGATGGCGGCGACAGCGGGGGGGTGACGGGATGCACGGCGGGGCGACCTGTTCTGTAACTTTTCTTCCCTCTCTCCTTCTTTCGTAGGTCTGCTTCTTCCCGCTGGAATGATATTCTTCAGCCTGGGGGGAATTTTGAAATCGGGAAAAATTTTTTTTTTTTTTTTTTTGAAAATCCTCAGGACTATTCTGAACCGTCCGATCATCCACTTTAGAAGATCACTCTAGAGAGTTACTCTAGAGGATCCGGACGCTTTCTCCTCTGTCACCCTCTGCCTAGGTAGCTATTTAAATGGTTCAGACATTTAATCATCACCACTATCTCTCTTTCTCTCAAAATTTTAGTAATGGCAACCATTTTCAATTCATACTCTGGCTTCTATCTTTTGGCATTCTTTTGTTTCATTCAGCTTTCAGTACTTAATTATCCCATTGCAGCCCAGACTAGTGACAGTAGTTTTGGTGGTGGTGGTTTCACCGCTGAACTCATCCACCGCGACTCCCCACTCTCCCCACTCTACCACCCATCCACCAACAAGTTGAACCGCCTCGTCAACTCTTTCTGTCGCTCATTTTCTCGTGCCAGTCACTTGAAGCAGACCTTAAAATCTTCAACTGATGGTATCCAACCCAAATTGTTTACGCTAGTGGAGAGTACATCACGAAGTTATCCGTTGGAACTCCACCTGTTCCATTGTTCAGGATTGTGGATACAGGTAGCGATCTTACTTGGACACAATGCGAGCCTTGAACTTAGTGTTTCAAGCAAAATTTACCGTACTTCGATCCCAAGCATTCATCAACATACAAAGAGTTATCGTGTCGGTCACAATTTTGTGAGTTCATGGGGAGTGCTAATCCCTCCACTTGTACCAGCAGGGATAGCATTTGCCAGTATAGCACACACTACGGAGACAATTCTTTCAGTATCGGTCACCTTGCTGCTGAAACATTCACCTTCAAATCATCGACTGATGGACGGGCAGTTCCGATCCCCATCATGGTCTTCGGGTGTGGACATAATGATGAGGGCACGTTCAACGAGACAGCTACTGGTATAGTTGGCCTTGGGGGCGGCAAACTTTCATTTGTAAGCCAATTAAGGCACTCAATTCACAAAAAATTCTCGTCTTGTTTACCACCATTAGATTCATCACTTTCAAAAACCAAGTTAATTTTTGGCGACAATGTAGTGGTAAGTGGAAAATTCTCGTATTGTTTACCACCATTAGATTCATCACTTTCTTTCTTTGTTTAAAATGCCTGAATGAGTGGCTAAAGAAATTGAAAGGTTGGAGGTCGCATTCTTATGGGGTGGTAGTGATCTTAAAAGAAAAGTTCATTTAGTAAAATGGGAGGAAGTTACAAAGAGAATTGATCAAGGTGGATTAGGCATCAGAAGGATTAGAGATGTTAATGTGTGTCTCCTTCTCAAGTGGTGGTGGAAATTTGGAAACCAAAACAAGGCACTCTAGAGGTCAGTGGTATGCAGCAAATATAAAATCAATGAAGCCTGTTGGGTTCCACCTTTGAGCTCTTCATATAAACATTCCAAACTGTTGAGTGACATTTTATCAATTGGGATTCTTAACAGTCCTATTTTCAACTTCTTTGTGGACAACTGTTCTATTAAGGTTGGGAATGGTACCAGAATTAGATTCTGGTTGGACAAATGGTGCAATGGTTTGTGTCTGAAATCCTCTTTTCCACTGCTCTATAATCTGTCATCAGATAAGGAAGGCTCTCTCCATAATTTTTTTGTAAGGAAAACAAACCCAACTGATTGGAACCTCCATCATAGAAGAGAGCTATATTCTTGGGAATTGGCTGAAGAAGTGAGATTATATACTCTATTATCCTCTGCTCCAACTTTATGTTTGGACTGTGAAGACTGTCAAGTCTGGTGCAATGATTCAGGTTCTGGCTTTTCGGTTTCTGCCCTGTATTCCAACAGTTCATCTCTTCTTGGCCCTCACCTGAAGATAAGCAGATGTGTTTGGAATTCATTATTGCCCCCCAGAGTCTCTTTCTTTTCATGGCTTGCCTGGAAAAATAGGATCAAAAGTGCAGATTTTCTGCTTAAAATTGGGATTCTAGATAGCAATGCATCACCCCTCTACCACTTTTGCAGCTCCGAGCTAGAAACTGCCTCTCATGTTCTGTTGCATTTCAATCTTTCTTGGTCAATATGGTCTGCTATTGTTGAGGAATGGGGACTCCAATGGTGTATTCCTAAGTTAGTGGATGGTCTACTCTCTTGGTGGATGAGTGGGAAATTTAATAAGCTTCACAGATTAATTTGGAGAGCAACCCCATTTATTTGGAAAATCAGAAATGAAAGTGTGTTTTCTAATGCACAACCCACCTATACAGGTCTTCTCGAACTCATCAAATTCAGAGCTACAATCTGGCTAAAAGCTTCCATCAAGGTCTTCCCCTACTCAGTGGATGATCTTCTCTATAATTGGAGGCAAATCAGAGGTGGATATTAGTGTTTTGGAATCTGTTTTAAAATATCTGGGCTGGATTTTGAATTGAAGTGGATATCTGGGCTGGACTTTTGAGTTTTGCTTGTGCTTCTGTAATCTGCTTGTGCTACTGTAAGATCAGTGTATTGGTCTAAGCTGTGATCTGCTCCAATGCAGTGTTTAAACTGCTGTAATCTGCTGTAAGATCAGAGTTTTCTTGAAGTGGTAAACTGCACTGGATTTAAGTTGGGCTGCTGCATTTTTTGCTGTTAGATCAGTGTTTTGGTCTCCATCTGTGTTGTATCTTGTTCTTCTCTAAATCTATGTGGAAATTGGTTGAGGGGTTCAAATATGATCAGTCTTGAATGGTTAAACACCAAATTGATTCTTCCTCAATGCTATGTTTGGTGGTGAGGATCATATCTCCTCAGAAGCTGAATGAGTTTATGAAAGTTTGATGTGAGGGTCAGATCTACACAGAAGCTCCAATGACAGCTTTTGATGTTGCTATTAGGTTTTCATTTCAGTTGATTAATGGGATCTATCAATGAGTGTAAAATTGGACATTTGGGCTGGAATCTGCTAAAGTGCACAGGGCAGCAGGGGGCCGATGTTGCAATTCTAGTTTGCTGGTGTATTGCATTTAAGCTGCTGTAGAGTTGGCAGCCCTTGCTGTTAGTTAAATGAATGGCTAGGCTCTGGCTGTGTTTTGGCTATGTTATGCTTGAATGGCTATGCTTAGGTGCTAGATGAATGATCTGTTCTGCTCTGTCTGGGGTGGGTTGGGTGGCTGAAGGGCTGAATAAAGGCTGCTTGAAGGGATGGAGAGTGTTTGGTTTGCTGCTGCAGTGCTAATCCTGCTACTGTTGCATTGTTATGCTTAGGCTGATGTGTTGTTGCTGCTGTTATGCTTATGCTAGATGTGTTGTTGCTGCTGTATGCTGCTGTGGGTGATGAGTTGCTGCTGATGGTGGTGATGTATTGCTTCAGCAGAGGGGTTTTTGGTTGTTTGGTATTCAAGGGGTGTGTTTTTTGGGTGCCTTTTGAAGAAAATACAGGAGTTTTGATCCAGAACAAGGGGTTGAGGTGTTTATTGATGTAGTTTTTGTTCTCATGTTCTTCTGCTGTGTTTCTTTCCCTTTCTTCTCTCATTTTTCTTTGAGGTTGGTTTCTCTCCAACTGGCACTTGGAGCTTCGTTTTAGCTCCAAGCTCCTCTTTATTGATGTACTTTTCCATACTCTGTATGTTGTCATCAATAAAGATTTTCTTTGCCGATCAAAAAAAAAAAAGTGGTGTCGGGGTCATCTCAACTCCAATAACCAAAAAACCAACCGACACATTCTATTACCTCACATTGGAGGGCATTAAAGTTGGAAACAAGAGCCTAACATACACAATGCCTTCCAAAGCGAATTCGGTTGATCAGGGTAACATCATCATCGACTCGGGGACAACTTTAACGCTCCTTCCAAATGAGTTGTATGAAAAATTATAATCAGAATTGATAAAAGTCATTACAGGAAACCATACTTCAGACCCACTAGGGTTGTTCAGCTTATGTTATAGTAATAGCATCGATATTACCAAGTTGCCTACAATAACATTCAAATTCACCGGAACTGACCGGGAACTGCCACTGTTGATTACTTTCTTACAAAACGGAAATGGTCCGGTGTGTTTAGCCTTTGTTCCTACTGATGAACTCCCAATCTTTGGAAACTTGTCACAAATGAACCTCTTGATCGGTTATGATCTTGTCAAAAGTGTAATTTCTTTCAAACCAACTGATTGCACCAAGTGGAACTAGTGCAAAATAATTATTTTATAAATTATTTATGTATGAATAAAATGAAATTAGGTTGTATTAATCTTATTAAGTTTTTAAATATTGATTATGTTGGTGTTTGTTGATGCTGACAATGTAGGTTAAAAACTAGCCTAAGAAAAGAATATATATAATGTTTTTTCAATTTTCATTCACATTTTTCAAGATCCAAACACAGCATTACTGTGTTTCTGCCTTTCATTTGGTTAGTTTCTTGGACAAGTGCCCCCTTGTCTTGCCAAAAAGGAAAGGTGAAAAAAAACAAAAGAAAAAAAAATGGGCATAGACCTTCCCAAGACAGTTGGTCAGTAGTGCAGCAAATTGCAAGTTCAAAAATGTTGGTTTTGATAATTTAGTTTTTAGTTTTCTTTGTAAATTCAGCAGTAGAAACACCATCCTTAGCCCCACTAGATTATCCAGAAACTTCTAGACTAAAGTTGCCAGAAGGAAAAAAAATTGTTAAATTTATGTTAATTCAGCCTCTCAACGAAGCAAGAAAGAAGAACGCGTGTTTTTGTTGTTAATTCATGTTAAAGTAGATATCAAATTTCATATGCATCAATTTTCATTACATGATGTACATAGACATATTTCATCTTGCATTTTCTCTGACCTCTAGGGAAATCCTCTTTCCCCATCCCCCATTCCCAAATTGTCCCCATACTAGCACAATTTTGGAAGACGGGGAGAGCGCATGCAAAGGTTAGGGGGTGTGGAGAATGGCTTTCATCCTAAGCCTCAAACAATTATCTGCACTTTAACAACTAATCAAACTCAAGCATAGCTTTAGTCTACATAACCATACTACAATGTTTGTATATGAAGTTCAATTCATTAACTACAAAAGCAAATATTTATCCAAAACTGGTAATGACAAAGCCAATTAAAATGCATATATGCTAAAATTGTGGAGTTTGTTGTATTTTTTTCAAACCTCAGGAGAGGTAAGTGTAATTTACCCATGTTTATTGTGCCTGTTTGGCAGAGCTTAATTATAGCTTATTTCAGCTTTCAGCTTAATTTAAGCTATTTTGATGTGTTTAGTTTAGCTTATAGCTTATAACTTATAGCTTTTTGAAAGTCAGAAATCAGCTTATTCTTTGAGTTGGGCAGGAGATGCTTTAAGAATAAGCTAGAAATCAGTTTAAACTGAAAGTTATAAGCTATAAGCTGTTGAGGCATAAGTTATAAGCACTTTCCCACAGCTCTACCAAATAGGGCCATTATATAGCTCTGAATACATACTGATTTTCCAGGATTGCCATTCGTCATCAATTATTTGCATACCATATATAACTACTCTCAAATTTTTAAAATTCATAATAAAAATTAAAAACCTTCCAAATATTTTGATTTAATTTATGGAAGGTCATAGGGTGAGTTTATGGTGCATTCACACGAGTGATTCTAGACCAAAAACATTGGAAACAAAATAATAATGTAAAATCTTATGATATTTCATAGTAGTGCCTCCTGCTCATAAAAAATATTTCATATTGGGAATGTTTTGACCAGATTCATTTTAGTGCGACTTACTAATGCACAAAGTTTAAATTTACATAATAAATTCATATTTTAAATATTTCTTTTTGATATTTTTTTCTAAGCATAATTCATGAATGATTTTTAGATTGAGAGAATATTGAGCAGAGTTTATTATGGTTATTCATGTCTGATTCTATGAATCTTGTGCATAGAATGAGACGATTCTGGTTAATTTGCCAGTAATGTACCAACTATATATATGCATTGATGACAATTAATTCTTGCTTATTTTTTCAAGTTAAAATTATTTACAATAATGTTATAAAGGTAATGTTATACCATATGCAATTTATGAATAATTCAATCATATGAGGCTCATAATTATTAATAAAAAATGAGTTATAAATAAATACCACAAAAGGTATAAACCTAGAAATGAGTCATAACTATTTAAAGAGAGAGATTTTGTTGTTTCATTATTACTAACTTCGACAATCAGTATTCAAATAGAAAGACTGTGATAGGCGTACAATTGGCAATTCCATATCACCTCAAGTTTTTTTTTTTTTTAAAGGAACAGTTACACACAAGTCCTAATTTATGAACTTATACTCCATTAAGTCCTAACTAAGATTTTTTTCAACATTCAAGTCCCATTAAATTTTTAATAGTCTAAGTTGCCCTTCAAACAATGATTGTTTATCATTTGTGATTATCTATAAAAGAATATGATAATTTGATATTTAATTTGATTTTAAAAACTTTAAAATATCAACTTTTAAATTGAAAAAACTAAAAAAATTATGTGCAAAAAAAAATAAAACTAATTTTTTTTGAAAAAATTGAATTATATTTTTGTGCAAAACTGAAAATTTTGTGTCCATAACTTGATGATTAAAAAAATAAATAAATAACTTTAAAAATGAAAAAATTGATAATGTAATCAGTTTTAAAACTGGAAATGTGATGCCCGAAATTTTTGAATCATCAAGGGAAATTAAATAAACAAAATGACTTAATAGATCAAAATATTTATGATAAAAATTAGGAAGTTTCAAAATATTTTGATTTAATTACACACATTTAATTCCTGTTGTACACTTTTTTTTTCTTTTTTTATTTGTTTTGTACACTCGTGAGGAATATTGTGGAAGCTCCAAAACCTCAAAATAAATTTGTAAATTTATTGAATTAAAAAATAAATTTAAATTGGCTAATCCATTAAAGTAATAGTTTTCAAAATATTAATAATTCCATAATTTATAGTTTCAAATGGAAAGATAAAAAAATATTCCATATCTCTCCAGCCTAATCATCTCCCACTTATTTTATTTCCTTTAAAAAAAATTAAAACTTTTTTCTTACTATATTACTATATTATTCATACCATATATAACTACTTTCAAATTTAAAAAATTCATGATAAAAATTAAGAACCTTCCAAATATTTTGATTTAATTTATGGAAGGTCAAAGGGTGAGTTTATGGTGCATTCACACGAGTGATTATAGACCAAAAACATTGAAAACAAATTAATAATGTAAAATCTCTCAAGATTGTATTTATAATATCATTTTTTAGTAGTGCCTCCTGCTTACAAAAAGTATTTCGAATTTGGAATGTTTTGACTAGATTCATTTTAGTATGACTTACTAGTGCACTAAGTTTAAATTTACATAATAAATTCATATTTTAAATATTTATTTTTGGTATTTTTTCTAAGCATAATTTATGAATGATTTTTAGATTGAGAGAATATTGAGTAGAGCATGTTATGGTTATTCATGTCTGATTCTATGAATCTTGTGCATAGAATAAAACGATTCTAGTTAACTTGCCAGTAATTTACTAGCTATACACACTATAACAATTTGCAATTTTGGCGATCAAATTTGGATAAACTTTTTTCAGTCGCCAAAAGTTGTAAAATTGGCAACTAAAAATTACATTGGTCGCCATTGAATATGGTTTCTAGCTACTGATTTTTTTTAGTAGCTGTATCTTAATTATTGGCAACTAAAAAACATTTGTCGCTAAATATGCCACAATAGGTGACTAATAATTATTTTAGTCGGCATTAGATCTTGTTTTAGGCTACTAAAATTTTTGTTAGTCGTGGTATACCAGTTTTTGGCTACTAAAATAAATTTGGTTGCCAAAAAGCTAGCATAATGTTTGCAATTAAACTTTGGCGACCAAAGTTTTGGTCGGTGTAGACACCCCATTTTTGACTGACCTTAAGACTCAGATGTCACCGATTGAGTGCTCGGTGATAGTGCATTTTGTGCTCATTCTGAGGTTTCAAAGTCTCGGCTGCGAGCCTTGACTCCAGACTTCGGGGCTCCTTCGTGCTTTGCCTCGATTTGCGAACCAGGTCCTGTTTTCTCTGTCTTCTCTTCCCGAAGGGAGGGAGAGGTCTCGTAGACCATCTCTCAGTGGCCATAGGCTACGTTTCATGGTCGTAGGCCATTTTTCCCATTTGGAGACCGGTTTCCGATTTTTTGAGCCGTCGGCCGTGTGCCTCGGTTTAAGACCGCTTAACTACCTCCGTTTGCTCCAGTTTTTGGAACACACCTTGTTTACCCTCTTTTGAGGGACACTGTGGCCTGAGAGACCACCTTTGTGGTCATACGCCACCTCTGGTGCTTCATAGTCAGTTTTCGGGACCCCGGGCCGCGCGTTTCGGTCCCCGAACCTCTGTTTTACATCTGTCCTGGTCCATTTTTGGTAGAGACCTTATTTTCATGGTTAGGAAGGTGGTGGTTTGGTGGGAGGCCACCTTTTCCCCTGAAAAACCAGCTTTCCCCTTTTTCTCTCTCCTCCAGTCGGTTTTTCTGATAGAAAGCTGGTTTTTCTAACTTTTGAGCCACAATTTCTGGTTTTTCACACCACCATTGTGTTGTGCTCATCTGGGAGCCCACCAATATGGGTAGGCCGACCAGTAATTCTTCTTGACCCTTTTGAACCCCTCTAAAAAGTTGATTTTTCTCTCTCTTGGGTTACATTTTTTGGTTTTTCACCACACAACTGTATTCTACTCATCTAGGAGGCCACCTTTCTGGGTAGACCGACCAGCATTTTAACTTGAACCTTTTGACCCTTGGTCAGCCGACCAGGGGAGGTGGTCGGCCGACCACCATGGCCCCTTTGAACTGGTCAGCCAGTTTTGCCTCTGTGAGTGTGTTCTAGCTGTGCCAGCTGTTTTGCACTTGACCCACTGTCCGAGATTTTGACCCTCTTTTTGATCCTTTTTAGTTGGTTTTGATCCCCTTGCTTAGCTTCTTGGAGGAGCTTGACTCTTTTGTCAAGCTTCTTGAGGAAGCTTGACCCTTTTGGTCTAGCTTCCTCAAGAAGCTTGACCCTTTTGAGTTAAGCTTCTTTGAGAAGCTTGGACCCCTCTTGAGGCTTCTCCAAGAAGCCTTGTCTCTTTTCCTCTATAAAACCAAGCCTCCATCTCATTTTGCAAGGGTTAAAAAATTTTGCTAAGGCTTATACAT